GGGGGGTGTGTGCATGTATGTATATGTATGTATGTATGCATATATATGTGTGTGTATGTATATATAATTGAGCTAAGACTGAAGAAGAGGCGATGCTTTTGAGTTGTGGTGTTGGCAAAGAATACTGAATGTACCATGGACTGCCAGAAGAACTAACAGATCTGTCCTAGAAGAAATACAACTAGAGTGCTTCTTGGCAGCAAGAATGGCCAGACTTTGTCTCACCTACTTTGGTCATGTTGTCATAAAGGACCATTCCCTAGAGAAGTATATCATGCTTGGTAAAGGGAAGGATCAGAAAAAAAGTAGAAGGTCCTCAGTGAGGTGGACTGACACAGTGGCTGCAACGATGGGCTCAGGGACATATGGCAAGGATTGTGAGGTTGGCACAGGACCAGGCAGTGTTTCATTCTGTTGCATATAGGGTCGCTATGAGTTGGAGCCAATTTGACAGAACCTAACTACAACTGGTAGCATAGTGGGTAAGGCATTTGGCTGCTCACCAGAAGGTCAGCAGTTCAAACTCACCATATAATTACTGTCATGCTCTCAATATAAAATAAAACCCAAATGTATTGCCATAGAGTCAATTCCAATTGACTGCTCAATAGGGTTTCCAAGATTGTAGATCCTTACAGCAGCACACTGGCTCATTTTTCCTCTGCTGAGCAGCTGGTGGGTTTGAACCACTGTTTGGGTTAGCAGACAAGCACTTTAACTACTTTGCCACCAGGGCTCTTTGCTTTCAGTATAGTCTGTATTTAATAACCTTTCTGAGTAGATATTTTTCTCCTTGATCTCAGTGTCAGTGGTGAAAAAGATAGTGATGATGCTTAATAAACACTGGGGATGTAAGTAAATTTGAGGACTGATTTCCAGAAAACATACACAGAAACATTGCTCATAGCATGCATATATTAAAACATAACTAAAATTTACAGGGAAAAGTCAAGGGCACTCTCTGTATGCTCTTCTGATGCCTGTTGGCTATTTTTCTGGATTTTCCAAGAAGGTCTTGAATACTAAAATAATTTGGCTGGTATGAAGAATGTTCACTTTCTGGGACACATTAAATAATGATGTATGAAACCAGGTAGTTAAATAGGTTAATTATACTTGTTCTTGAAACTTGTGAATGGCACTGTGTTGCCTATTACCAAAGGATCATCACTGTGTTAATGGTACTTTTGTTCATTGCCTTTCACCGCTCATCATCTTTTTCTGTGGATCCTGTGGATCAGGGAACAGAAGAGAAGATCTCAGCAGTGTTTAAAAGAATCTTTGGAGATAAGACAAAAAGGGGCTAAGTGGCTCTTTGGGGGAAATGCATTTCTCAAAAAGTATTTTTTGTGGCTATTTAGGAGAAATACAATTTACCCAGAATTGGGAATATGATTCTAAGAACAGAGTATGTTTTCTCTTCAGAGCACTGGACAAAGTGTCATGCTGGATAATGCTACTATGTCAGGTTCCACTGCTAATAGAAACAGTCACCAAGAAGTTGGCTTAGTGATGATCAAATTAAAACTTGGCATCAAGAAAGGATTCCTTCGATGGTTGTTGAATAAATGGAAGTGTCTGCCCTTCTCGATATTCCCAAAGTTAAAGGACGTAGCTTGGTTGACCAGTGATCCAATGATTAGTGGTAAAATTCTACAGCTTTTTTTTTTTTATATAGTGGTTCATCCACTATTATTCTGAATGGTGTTTTCATCATGCAATAGTTGTGAGCCATAGATTGAGCAGAACCACTTTTAAATTGGCTTTTGGAATATGTTATCTGGCCATCCACAACTCTTCTGCCTCATCTCTTTGGGATCTTGCACCTAAGCTAACATAAGCATAAGTATTCGTGTTTCCCAATATATAATCACATTGCTAAGTTACATACATTTCATCAGAAATCTTCTGGATACTATGACCTGGTAATTTTAGGAACTACTCTAGTAATAAGAGGCCCTCTGGTGGAGTGGTGCCTAAGGCATTTGGCTGCTGACCAGAAGGCTGGTGGTTCAAAACACCCAGCCATTCCTCGGAAGGAAGGTGGCCAATCTACTTCTGTAATGATACCACTTCGGAAACCCAAGGAGGGGTTGCTATGAGTTGGACCTGAGTGGACAGCAGTGCAGCTAGTAATAAGAGCTTATAGCACTCAGATGAATATTTGGGGAGCATTTTCCATTCCTTAAACCTATCATATAAGACAGACTTTAGCTCATTCCTCTTAATAATGGGACAGGAGACCTGTTTTTCTAGTATGGATAAAAATACTATTTTGAAAGGTATAAATACTTTGAAATTAATTGGCATCTCTAAAAATGTTCTTTGTATTTAGCTTTTCTCTAAAAACACATTACATTCTTAAGCTTAGCCCAAGGCTGAGCATGGCCCAGCAAAATCTAATAGGTGACTTTTGTCATTTTAGATTCAGTGTGAAAATGAATGAATACAAATGGAAAAACAAAACACAAAATATAACAAACAAATCTCGACTCTAAAGAGGACTCAAAGAATTCTTTGGATATCATATATTTTAACTCCAATTTTAAAACCAAACCAAAAAAAATCAATTTTCAGGAAGAATCCTTACGCTTTTATTAAGTATGCATTTAGACAAAGAAAACATTCTTCAGAGATTAAGATTAAATGTGTTTATTTCGAGTTAGTGGATACAATGGTATATTAGATACCAGCACTCCAAACTACACCTAGTGTTTGCCTCTAAACCTTCATACATTATCAGTTTCCATTGCTCTAACATTCCACCACTGGGCCTCCTACTTCTAGAAAAAACATAGTTCAAATTACAAAACATAAAATAAAAGAATACTGTAGTTCCAGTGCCATCAGAAAGATAATTGTTGAAAATAAATGTTAATTTATTTTTTCAGAAAATGGTGGGGGGGAAAAAAACTTAACATGAACACTAGTAATGGCATGACTAGAAGAGAAAGCAAAATGTAGACTAAAGGAAAGATTTTAGGCTGGACTAGTTGGTTTCCCCTCCATCAAAAATCCACATATATCATGGATGTGACTTCAAAGTTAAATTGTTCACTTTGTGGGCCACACACTTAAGCGCATTGGCTAGCACATTTTTGCACTGAAACAGAAGCAATACAAGCTTTATGTTCTACCATTACACTTCCAGATTTTTCACTTATTATTATACCTGCCAACCTAATGATTCTTGCATGCATTAGTGTTTGCTTTTGTAGATTTAAGTTTATTTTCCCCGATCCCTCCCACTCCCATAAACATTGTGATGCTAACTCTTTGCCCAATTTTATGAGAATATTGCTAAGGACAGTTCTGTGCCACCTCAGGACAGAAATCCCGACCCCTCCTGGGCTACAGATGGATCAGTAGTATTGATCACATCTCATCTTACATGCAAACAGACACTGCTCCCTTAAATTCCCCATGCCAGAGGCATACGAGTTGGCAGGTATGCATACAAAAATGGAATTAAAAAGAAAATGAAAGGAAAAAAGAAAGAAAATGCTTTCTGGTTGAAGCCTATCGTCCTAGAAGGAATCCATTGCTTTGAATTCACTTAAAGCCTGTACAGGCGAAATGTGTTTCTTCTGAGAACCCCGTCTAACTCGTGTCTGGAATTCTTCAGGTTTTTCTCTCTTCACAAGGGGCTTCTTCTCTGGAGCCTTCATCTTCCAAGACACAACAGGTGAGTTTACAGCTGCTGTCCCATAGACCTTCTGGTATTTGGTCGAAGCCACATAAGATGCTTTCACCGTGAGGACTACAGCATTCATCAGATTTTTAGCTGCCTGGATGAGTGACGTGGCACTGTCCAGCTAGAGGGGGAGGAGAAGAATGACATACAACCTGGGTTATTCCAGGTCCAACATTCCCAAGATGGTTGTGCAATTTCATAGTTAAAACAGTGCTTAGCTTGTGCAATTATACAGTATTGCCCAAAGGGAGCAAATTACCACAAGGTAAGGCAAACAGGTTACAAAGCAGTCACCTGGATTCTCTTATCCCTAATATCAGAGCAAAATAAAAATGAAATAAATAAAAAAGGATATTCTATGATTCATAATTTTCTATATGTCAGTGTCTCCAGAGACAAAGCCCTCTACTTAGCATGTAAAACTTCCAGGGTAATAAAGTTTTCTAAAGAGGAAAGTCTCAAATTATTACCCTAGGCTGATTAGTAATGGTGATAATTACTCAAAGGTTTAAAAAGCATTTGGCAGGCACTGAAGAATAAATAGTTATAAGCAGTTACATCTCAATTTTATGGCCCTGCCAGTGGAAGTAGTGATCTATATATAGACTGTTTCTCCACTCTGTGTTTAGGATTGGTGAGCATGCAGGCAGCCAAGCAGGGGAATACATCTCTGGGTTATATGGCTTCTTTTTAGGTGGTTAAAGATTTTGGAGTATACATTTAACTATTCCCAGGTCTTGAGTATACCTCCTATAAAAATATCCATAATTGTGTGACGATCTTGTAGGTCAGAGAATGTTCAGTAAGGCCCCCATATTGATGGGATTTAATATTTTGAGTGTATTACATGTCAACCCCTATTCTAATAATTATATGATTATTTCCTCATTTGATCTTCATAATAACACCATGAAGTAGGTATCATTGTCATTGCCAGTGTACAAGACAGCTGGTGCATGCAGAGGTCTAGTAATGTGCACAGAATTACACAGCTTAAATGATGAAGTATTAAAGACTGCACTACTACACTATCCTGTTGGTTAGGATAGCTTTTAAAAACGCTATGACAAGTCACAATATAAGGCAGAGTAGATTTAGAGGCCCATTCATCTCCAGGCTCTCAAGCCAGAGATTTTTTTAGGTTATTTCATTATTGCTTTTAACCAGGTAGACCATGTGGTATATATACTGTACAAAAGCTTGACTTTCTGGACAATAGATGCTGGAAGATAAAATCTGCATTACATTCACTCCTGTTCAGCCAGGGTTTTTACCTGTGACCTAGTGAAAGGAAAGGATGAACAACTGAACTGTATATCTAACTTCAGCCCAAAGGCTGCTTGAACATAGGTTGACTATCAGTCAAACTTTTTGCAATATTAACTAAGGAAATGTGTCCACTGGGGTTAAGTGAGAGTTCTAAGAATGCTCTTTAAGTATACTGTTCCTAGTTGTTGAGATTGTTCACTGTATAAAATGTAATTTATGGACTGTAGTTGCACTGTATAATGGCAGCTAGACATACAATCTTCTGAGTGCTAGATGATTTGCAAAGTGTTTAAGTGGAGGAATTCTTAATCCTGTGCCTTCCCTGTATAATGTGACTTGCATTCATTTTAGATTCTTGTCATTTCTTGTGACCAAAACATATCCAATTGGGGACATCAGAAGTTGCATCTAAGGCCTCCATGATAATGTCACTCTGTATACTCTTCTGTTCTGTATTCTTTCTTAAACCTAAATATAAGTGCTGAATTCAAAACAGATCTTTGACAATCAAATGAGCTCAAATATTCCATAATCCCAAAAAACAGGAGAGATACTTTCTATGTGTGATTTCCTTGAGTTTTAACTATTTTAAAATAACTAAAAGTCACTATTACTTTGACCCCAAAAATAATAAGGAAAAGCAAAGAGATTTGTTGATCAGACCCACAATTCAATGGGAACATTCTTGACTGTTTTGTGAATTAACGGGAAAAAAAAAAAAAATGGGTAGACTAACCTATATATTTTACTTTATTATTTTTATTTCACTGCACAAGGTACACATATACCAAAAGAAAAGTTGTTTAATCCATAATGTTTAGTTTTCACAGTCTAAATTTAAAAAACTAGCTAAATAAAAGCAAATTCTAGATTATTCATGTTAATAGGAGGGAAGCCAAGCGTGGATTAGGGAAGTGGTTCTCAAAGTGCATTTTCTGAACCAGCAGCATCAGTATCACCTGGGAACCTATTGGAAATGCAAATTCTCAGGCCCAACCCAAAAGCTACTGCAGCAGAAACTGTAGTATGTTTTAACAAGTCATCCAGGGGATTCTGATGTATGCTAAAATTTGAGAGCCACTGGATTAATGAAACCCAAAGACTATCTGATGATTTCCAGTCTTTCACTGTATACAACTTTGATGATAGCATAGCCAGCTATCAGATTAATTTCATTTTTTCATCTTTCCCATCATACCCACAGGGAGAAGTATAAATAATGAAGGACAGAGGACACAGAATAATGTTTGGACAATTAGAAGCATATCCTTCATTGGTTCTTCAGAAGCTAAAATACGCTACCTCTTGGCCAATCAACAGTTCCGTATGAGTCTGTCAGGTTTCAAAAATGAGAAACATCCATTTATGAAGTTAGTTAATTCTATTGTATGCTTTAAGTTAAAAAGAGTAAAATAATATTATAACAGGGACAGTTGTGCTGATTTACTTCAGGGCAACAGAATTAGTAGAAGTAAAATAAGATCAGCTATGTCTATTGCATTATTAAATGGTTCCCAAAGAGTGAGTCTTGGGAGAATTGAGTGGATCTGAAGAAAAAGATTACAAGTAATTTGGGGATTTTTACCACAGATTCCATTTTCAGATAGATGGTGTCTAATTCTGCAGCAAAAATCTGATAGCCTGTCTCTTCTTCAGAACCCCTTTGTTCTCCAAGCCTGATGCAGGAATCCTGTGAATAAACCTAATACATTGGTTGAATGTGAGATAGCTCTGAAATACACAGCCTATGGTTTTACTCAAGCCACCTTCTATGGCAGAAACTGAATTTTTGTGAAGATATGGGGAGGAGTAAAGGGGTCCAGCCAGGTAAACCTAAATAAATATATTCATAGACAATAAGACTTTTTATTGTAACAAAGTATATCAAAGTCTAGAGCATTATAGTTTCAACACATGCCAATAGATATTTCAGAGACAGGCCTAGAAATTTATTAATATTAGATATATAATTTACATAGTTTTAGGAAAGACATTATTTTGCTATCTCCCACAATCTTAATTAGAGAATATACTCTATCTAGTTGGTTTGATCTTCTGTTGATACAAAGACCTAAAATACAAAGGATGCTGAAGAAATAGTTATTAGGAATGAACTTGATCCAGACATTTCCTAGGGTGTGGGCATATGTTTATTTTAATATATCAGAAGTCACTGAAATATATAACCAATAGTACACTAAAATATGTTAAAAAATTTGGACACTAGGTATAACATGTCTAGAACTTCATCTAAAGCTCATGATCTCACTACAAAGTTTCATAACTTGTACAATTAAATTAAAACCTATAGTATGCATATTAAAGATAATTGGCATTTAATGAAGAAAATCAGTTATAGTAAACACGAATGGATGTTATCTATTACAACATTTTTTTAGAAAATATTTATGATATAATATTCCCTAAAATGTTTATTTCCTGTTAATAAGAAAACTGCTTTTTAGAAAATGTTTATGACATAATCATAGTCCCTTTTTTCAGTTATGCCATCACAAATTCTCTTTTGAAGTTTAAATATTGCTTTCATTTAGTCTAGATATTAAATTACAAATATGAAATTTGAGATTTCATTAAGTTGAATTCCCAAAGGATAAATTCTGCCTTTCCCCCCATATCTACATTTGAGGTTAGGCCATTATCAGTACAATAGAATTCTTTTTATTTAAAAATGGGTTTCCTTAATAATTTTCCAAAATGGCACTACAGTCCAATTTCTAATTGGTAGGATTTTGTTAAAAATTCACTTCCTAAAGAAAAGGCATTAAAAATAGTAAAACTGCATAGCCACAAGGTATTTTTATACAGGGTTTAGGGATAATTATTCAACAAAACAACATGCTCCTTTGTAACTTATACTTTAAATATGACATTTTTCAGCAAAAGATGTGTAGATTAAGTTCTAATATTAATATCTAACATTAATAGAGGAGCTCTGGTGGTGTAGTGCCGAAGGCACTTGACTGCTAACCAGAAGCCTGGTGGTTCAAACCCACCAGACACTCCTTGGAAGGAAGGTTGGGCAATCTACTTCCATAGTGATACCGCCTCAGAAACCCAAGGAGGAGTTACTATGATTCAGGGCCCACTCGATGGCACATAACAACAACAGCAACAACCATCCCATTTATGAAGTAACTGAGGTTTAAAGAGACTAACTTGCCTATCTAATAAAATAATTACTAGGGATTCAAACACTTGTTCTTTGACCCCAGCTATAGAGCTTATAGAAATATACCACAACTGCCTCTTGCTTTTTTTTTTTTTTTTTCAAAAGAAGAAATAATGGGGTTTTAAGGTGGTTCTTCTGGGAAGCCAAGATACTCCCCCTTGCCTGCCAAAGACTGGTCTAGTCTGGGACATTCTATTCTCCCACTTCTGGAGTTATTGTACTTTAGGCAAAATGCAGCAAAAGTGCCAGAGGGTTCCCTTCAATCTAAAAATTAAGGCACTTGACTGCTAACCAGAAGCCTGGTGGTTCAAACCCACCAGACACTCCTTGGAAGGAAGGTTGGGCAATCTACTTCCATAGTGATACCGCCTCAGAAACCCAAGGAGGCCTCGCTATAAGTCGGGTCTGACTTGTTGGCACATAACAAAAACAACAACATTAATAGAGCACTTGGTGCCTGGCAAGAAGCCCTGGTGGTGCGGTGGTACTCAACTGCTAAATAAAAGAAGGTAGGTGGTTTGAATCCACCAGCTGCTCTGTGGGATAAAGATGTGGCAATTTGCTTCTGTAAAAGCCTTGGAAATAATTAGAAGCAGTTCTATCTTGTCCTACAGGGTTGTTATCAGTTGGAATCAACTTGACAGGTATGGGTAGGTGCCTAA